TGAGAAAAAACTGATAATATACTCTATTTTATAGTTAGTTTAAAGTTTTCCTTTCTTTGTTGACCGTCACTAGACTTTCATAAAAAAAATGATTAGAAAAAAAAAAAAATAGATAATACTTAACAAAGAAAAAGAACTATTCATCGTTCTCCAAAGGTGGAAACATAGGAAAGTATATAGTATTCCGCTTTAAAAATAAAATGCGATTAACTAAATCAGGAGCTAATCGAGTTCTTTTTGCTGAAATATTATTTTCAGCATCAGAAAACAATCGTTCGCTAGGAACCAACGTAGCAGGGATTGAAAGGTATTTACGTGCTAGTTGTGACAAAATGGGATAACTTGTTTGATGCCCTCGCCACCAAACTAAAGGATCAACATTTTTTGGTTCTTCAGAATAATATAAATAACGAGTAACTTCATCTTCCGTTTGTACATGATTATCGGCCCACATTTTCGAGAATATGTCTTCAGCATCATTGATCAAGTCCACTGTTGAATACGGCACCTCAAGATTTTTATTGGTTAACTCTTGCTTAAGCTGAGTATATAAATCCCTTAAAAGGAACTCAGCTTGTGTTCTTTGCTGTGCGCGATCAGGTCCATTCATAAATAGAAAATTTTTTATTCTAGGATCCAATATCATTGCAGTTAAAGAACTTTCATTAGGCATTTCCCATAATTTGTCTAAAGAAAGATATATAGCAGCTCGAACTTTTTGAATAAGATTTTCTGTGTTAACTGGTTGTAAGTATTCAATTTGATTAGTTTCTTTTCACCTTGATTGCAATTACGACCTCGACCTCGACCTCGACCCCGACCATGGGTTTTTTTCATCCTCTGTCTAAACTGTTGATATGCATGCCGTAAATGTCGTTGAGTTCCTGCTATTGGAATATCATCATTATTGCTTGTAGAACTTGAATCACTATTATCATCATTTTCTAACTCATTGTCCAATACTAAAGGCCCATAGATTAGATCTAAATAGATATCAATAGTTTCACCTTCTTCAATCCTTGGTGCGAACATTTGTTTTAATGTATATATATATATGGATGAACCATATTTAATGTTGGATATGTAGCACCTGATAATCGTCGAGTTATGGCTTCAAAAGATTCGAGTAGTTTGATCATTTCTTGAATGAACCTATATAAAATTACCGGTAATATTAAATT